AAAAAAAACAAAACCAAAACAAAAAAACCACAAATCGAAACAAAAACACCAACCCCCTAAATCCACCCTTTGCAAAGGAGAGAGGCTGCCTGAGCAGGGGGGGCATGGAAAATCACCCCCAAGGGATGGTGTGGGGGCAGCTGGTGGTGATTTGGGGCTGGAAAAGGGTGGGGGGGGGCATGTTCTCCTCCCCATGGATTCTGGGTTTAAAGCTGGGATGGAGGCGGGTGGGAATCCAGGAGCTGGTCCTTGGTGGTGGCACTTCCCACCCACTGTGGTGCCCATCTAAGCCCCCCCATCACCCTATAGAGCCCCACACGGGGGTGCAAGGAGGGAGGGGGGGTACTGGGAGCATGGATTAAACCAGGCATCTGCCCAAACCGCTTCCAGCACAATGAGGATGGGGGGGAACAAGCTGGCGGTGAGGAGGACCTCATGGGATGTGTTCAGAGGGATGAGCTGGGGCTGGGAGCAATTAGAGGTGTTTGTCAGGGGCTTTTCCCATCCCTGCCCTCCCCAAAAATCCAGAGAGGGGGGACAGGGCCCTGCCCACATCTCCATCATTGATGGAGCCAGGGTTTCTCCTTAGTCCAAGTGAAATTAGGGGGGTTGGTGCCAACCCAGAAGCTCGGACCCAGTGATGGGGACGATTCCAGCCCCAAACACGGAGCTCCTGAGCTTCTCACAAAATTATAGGGGCTGGAAGGGATCTCTGGAGACCATCACGTCCAACCTCCTGCTGAAGTAGGGGCACCCAGAGCAGGTTGGACAAGGAATGTGTGTCCAGGTGGGGTTTGAGGTGGAATTTCCCCATGTCCCAGTTTGTGCCCGTTGCCCCTTGTCCTGTCCCCGGGCACCACTGAGAAGAGTCTGGCCCCATCCTCTTGCCCCCTGACATTTAGCTGTTGCGCAGCATCGATGAGGTCCCCTCTCAGTCTGCTCTTCTCCAGCTGAACAGCCCCAGGTCCCTCAGCCTTTCCTCAGCAGAGAGATGCTCCAGCCTCTCATCATCCTGACAGCCTCCACTGGACCCTCTCCAGCAGTTCCCTGTCCTTCTGGAACTGGGGAGCCCAGAACTGGTCCCAGTGCTCCAGATGGGGCCTCCCCAGGGCAGAGCAGAGGGGCAGGACGACCTCCCTCCACCTGCTGGACACGCTCTTTTTAATGTACAGAGCAGAGGGGCAGGACGTCTTGGCCACAAGGGCACGTTGCTGGCCCATGGGCAACCTGGTGTCCACCAGGACTCCCAGGTCCCTCTCTGCAGAGCTCCTTTCCAGCAGGTCAGCCCCAACCTGCACTGGTCCATGGGGTTATTCCTCCCTAGAGTACCGCTGCACCACGGAGGGAGGACCCAGGCTCAGAACTTACCTGCAAGGATGAAGACCCCAACAAGGATGAGGAAGACGAGGAGGTAGAGTCCCACCACGGCGTACTTCAGAGCTGCCAAGGAGCCCAGCCGGCCGCAGCGTCCTGCTGCCTTCATCCTCCTCCCAGGACCTGGGGGACAGAGCGGGGTGTCAGGGAGAGCATCACACACCATCTCCCATCGGGAGAAGTTAAGGGCTCACATGGATGAGGTGGTAACGGTTTGACCCTGCAAGAGGGGAGATGGAGCTGAGCTGTGGGGAAGAACTTGTTTGGTGTGAGGGTGGTGAGAGCCTGGCCCAGGTTGGCCCGAGAAGCTGTGGCTGCCCCATCCCTGGAGGGGTTCAAGGGCAGGTTGGAGGGGGCTTGGAGCAACCTGGTGTGGTGGGAGGTGTCCCTGCCCAGGGCAGGGGGTGGCTTTAAGGTCCCTTCCCACCCAAACCATTCCATGACTCCATGATTCTCCCTGGGGGACCAAGCTGGCTCCTGGGGTACCAGAGATGGAGAGGAGGTACAAGGGGTTGGGGGTGTCCCTAGTCCACCAAGACCCCTTCTCCACTGCACCCTTGCCCTCCCCCAGCTGATGGTCCATCTGTCTGTCCTGCTGGAGGACAGGGAGGTTCCCTAAAGCCTCCAGGCAGCAAAGGGTTACTCTGGGTGTATCACTTCACTCAGCCCCATTTTTGGGGGCTCCGAAATGATGGAGCTCTGAGGTCGGGCTCGCTGACACCCCGCGGGGCTGTGGGGTGCTGGAGACCCCCTCCTCACCCCCCCAATCCCCAGCTCAGGTGCGAAAGGCGGTGCCGTTCCTGGGGGACCCCCCTCCATCTGCAGCTCGTTACCCCACCCCCCAGCCCTTCCCATTCCCCATCCCCGGCCAAACAGATGGAGCCGAGGGTTTGGGGATGAGGAAAGCGGCAATATTTTTCTGACATTAACACTTATATCAGGTCCTGGGGGAACTCCAGGAGGAGCTGGACGGGGGCCCCGAACCACCCACTCCTCTTCTGCTGCTGCTCCAGGAAGAGCAGGAGGCACCGCAGCTGCATCAGCAGGGCTTTCACAACAGGAGCCCACGGGCGAGCTCCGGCCAGTAACCAAGGGGAAAAGCAAATATTTCTTCCCCCTGCCCATGCCCAGGGGAGCCAGAGCATGGCCCGCCCGGCCAGGGGGGGTACAGAAGGCAGGAGGCTGGAAACAGCCAGGACTTGTTGTCCCTTAGGCCTTGGAGGGGTCCAGGGGGGCTGTCCTGGTGGTGGCATCAAGCAGCAGGTTGTCACGCTGGTCCTCAGCCCCACACCGAGCGCTTTCCGTGAGCCCAGGGAGGGTTCAGGTGGTGCCATCCTCAGGATGAAGCTCTCAGGGTTGACCTTGCCCGGCCAGTAACCAAGGAGAAAAGCAAATATTTCTTCCCCCTGCCCATGCCCAGGGGAGCTGGAGCGGTGGCCCGCCCGGCCAGGGGGGGTACAGAAGGCAGGAGGCTGGAAACAGGCAGGACTTGTTGTCCCTTAGGCCTTGGAGGGGTCCAGGGGGGTTGTCCCGGTGGTGGCATCAAGCAGCAGGTTGTCACACTGGTCCTCAGCCCCACACCGAGCACTTTCCGTGAGCCCAGGGGGGGCTCAGGTGGTGCCATCCTCAGGATGAAGGTCTCAGGGTTGACCTTGCCCCTGCCCCGTGCGGCTTCACCCCAAGCACAGCCCCACAAGTCTCCTCCCAGCAACCTCTCCCATGGGAATGGGGTCTCTGGTGGGGGCCAGTTCTGCATCGGGGTGACTTATGGATGAGCAGATTTGACCTGAGAGATGCAGGGCAACCTGCCACAAAAATTCCAAAGCCAAGGAGATGCCTGGAAGCCTCCCTGCCATCACTCCATGCGAGCACAAGGTCTCTGCTGGGGGTGGTGGCCTTGGCCCTAGAA